TATTTTTGTGTACTACATTTTTTGAGGTGTCCTCTCCTTGAGTAATGAGAGATAGTTGTGTAGATTTTCTAGCAATTTTGTATATATTTTTTGTACATTCATTCACTCCCTCTCCCCCCATGCTGTTCGTGAAAAAGACCTAATAATAGATCGAGTTGTGTTTGTTAAAAGTGCGTCGATACTGGTGGCCTGGTGGCTAACCCCGCCCTCTCTAGAGGGTACACTGTGCCGCACTCTTTCTTTTTTTAATTTTGTGTCGCTCTAGTCCCGCTTTATCCGTCTTTATCAATAATGTCTCAATCTTCCAATCCTTATTTGTTTATTTTGTGTAATAAAATCGCTTGGCATGACGCTTTCGAGTTCATAAGTTTGCATGCCCAGCCCATACACTGCTCTCCATCCCACTTCCCCGAGTCCCCGAGCCCCTGCACTGGCACCAAGGCGGGCCGCCGGCTCCTCGCAGCTGCTCGGCGGGTCTGCCTACCCAGCGCGTCGCAGGCGCCCGCGACCTGAGCCCCGCAACGAGCGAGCTACGCGAGCAACGCTCCGGAGGCCGGTTGACGCGAACAGACGATAGCTCGCAAGCGGACGCCAGCAGATCACATCCGATGAGAAGCCGAACGTTCGCCGAAAAGCTCGGCACCGACTAGCACCGACGATCAAAAGTCACGAGTCGAACCTACGACACGAAACGACCAGCGGTCCAGCATGCAACTTTCTGAGCCACCAGACCACACTCCAAACCCGCGCTCAGACACCGGTATATGAGTCACAGGTTTGCAGGCCAGCCCATTGGCTGGGCGCGCGGCCCTGCGCCCCGGGCGGCCCGAGAAAGCACCTTTTCGGCAGGCCGATGTCGGAAAAAAATATGTAAATCGCGATTTTCTCAGAAAGTATTTGAGCTACAGCGCCCCGACTTCGCCTGTAGATTACTCTAGTAAAACTGAACAGATCCTGAAGTGGGCGATCACCTCACTAATCGGGAAACCAGTTTTATATCGTTTCAAAGTAGGGTCGTAGTTCGAAATTTTTACAACTTTGATTTCTCGAAAACTATTCATCCCACAGCGACCTGGCTTTGCAGGGCAGTTTATATTCACAAGCCGAACATTCCCTGATAGTTCCTACCCCCTGGGGTAAAAAAAAAAAAAAATAAAAAAAATCCCCCAAAAAGTCAAGAGTCGAACCTACGACACGGAGAGCCGAATTGAGCAGCGATCTTGCACGCAACTTTCTGAGCCACCAGACCACACACGAAGAGCGCGATTCAGCGCCGGTATAAGAGTCACGACCAAAACATGCCCTACTGCCGGCTTGGTGCGCTGCCACAGGCCCGGGGAGCTAGAATGGCCCCCTTTCCGCCGTTTCGTGATACAAATTTTTACGTAAATCGGCTCTAACTCTGGTTCTATTGGAGCCACAGCGCCCCGATTTCGTCTGTACATTACTCTAGTAAATCTGAATAGACCCTGCAATGGGCGATTAGTTAGCGCATTCAGAGACCTGCGTTTGAACGACTCAAAGTAGGTCCGTAGGCAAATTTGTTAAAATCTTCAATTTCTCGAAAAACGGCTCTAACTCCGGACCTATTTGAACCACAGCGCCCCGATTTCGCCTATAGATGACTCTTGTTAAACTGAAAAGACCATGCAATGGACGATTAGCTAGCGCACCGAGAAACCTGCGTTTGAACGACTCAAAGTACTGTCGTAGTTCGAAAGTTTTAGAACTTTGATTTCTCGAAAACTATTCATCCCTCAGCAACCGGGCTTTGCAAGGCAGTTTATATTCATAGGCCAAACATTCCCTGATAGTTTCCAACCCTTTGGGTAAAAAATAAAAAAAGGAAAAAATACCACCAAAAGTCAAGAGTCGAACCTACGACACGGAGAGCCGAAATGTGCAGAGATCCAGCACGCAACTTCCTGAGCCACCAGACCACACACCACAACTGCCATCTGACACCGATATATGACGCATGGCTTTCCAGACCCTTCAAACGGCGGGGCGCGCGTGCCTCCCTCCCGGGAAGCCAGAAGAGCCCCCATTCGGCCGCTCCGTGACAGAAATTTCAACGTAAATCAGCTCTATCTCTGGACCTATTGGAGCTACAGCGTCCAGATTTCGGCTGTAGATTCTTCTAGTGAAACTGAACAGATCCTAAAGTCGGCGATCACCTCAGGGACAAAGGGACACCAGTTTTATTTCGATTCAAAGTAGGGTCCTAAGGGCAAATTCGTCACGCGATCAGAAATTCGTCACTTTCTGATCCACCAGACCATGTTGCGGACGGCAACAAATAACCCGAAAACGCCTTAGAGGTAGGCAACCCAACAGCCGCCTTCGGACGCGCCTGACCCGGCAGCCGAGAGGTAGCGCCACCTCGTAGGGAGAGCGAGAGAGACAGCCGCGCCCGGCATGGCGTGCCGGCGCTCTGGTCAGTCGAGATCTGGGAGCGACGCGTTGAGGACCGGATGGTCAGAGGCGAGACGCGTTCGGCCTCGTGTGACACACACTGTTGTGCGCGTGAAATACGGAAGTATTGTGCTCCTGTCCACCATCAAATTGGATATCTCGTCGTCATCAACCAAGCCCGCAAGGTAAATCATCTCGACTCGAACCGCCCAAACAGCTGTCCAAAGTGTGGTTATGTTACTGACAACCAACTGTATTGACAGGGCTTCGGTCTCCCGGCGAAACGCCACCATGATGGGCTAGGCCCTCACTGATCTCGCCTCCCGAAGCGGCCGCCAACATGCCTAACGCCCTAACGCCCCACTTTGTTTTGGACGCCGAGGACGCCGATGGGCCCCACACCACCAGACCGCCCCTCCCGGGCCACCTCGCCCGTCGCCGCCCAGCGCAGCGCTCCCCCTCAGCGCCCCCCTTCCCCTCCCACTCCCGATCAGCTGTGAAGTGTGGAGCAACTTTGTTTATGTCACTAGTTCGGTGACTTCTTGCCATGACAGTGAAATGTGTTACGGTTTCATTTCTATTATGTGTTGGTGAATACCACTCCAATGTGTAATATGTAAATTATCAATTGTGAGATGTGAAAGTGTGAGTGTCTGTGTGTGGGTGGTGGCGCCGCCCCCATGCATTTGTGTTATGCATCATAAAACTGCGCAGTGTCTACTCTGGTGAGTTTACTCATTTCTATAATTCTGGGTCCAGTTAAAGAGTTTTGACCTTGGTTATAAGGCTCTATTTAGTGAATGGTTTATCATTCAAAAATGACTTATTTTGGCAGTGTTTACTGCTTATGTCGTTTGAGTAACATTATGTACATGTTACCTATAGTGTATTTACAGTGTATTGTTTGTCCTTGTGTATAATTGTATAAGTAGATAGTTAATATTTTGATGAGAGGGACGCCTCCTTAGCATTGTTTTGACAGTGTTAAACCTAAAGGTGTTTATTAAATCTACTTTCACCTATGCTTGTTCTTTAATTATCATCAATTAGTTTGGCAATTAAAGATTAAATTTCAATATTCTATTAAACTCAACCGGTGGGAAAAAGAACCTACCCTAACTTCAAAAACAGATTTGTAAAAACCCACCCTAAATAACTTTAATACCGTAACAACCCCACTCCGGACCCGCGCTCAGACACCGGTACAACAGTCACAGGTTTGCAGGCCAGCCAATTGGCTGGGCGCGCAGCGTACCGCACCGCGCAGCGCACCGTAGGCAAATTTGTTTGGGGATTAGCAGCGAGAGCTAAAGGGTCGTGTTTTGGTCAGATATAACGTAAACACGACGTCATGGATTGTTCTGCTACGACACGCGACTACACGCTGGCAGAAGGTCGTCAAGGGATAAGCCGATGTGTTCGACATACAAATACGACGTCGTATATACGACGCGATATAGCATCAGGTCGTAAGGTGCTGAAACAGGGCGTCGGGTGGCGAACGTGGCATGCGACGTCTTATTTTGGTCAGATTCGACGCTAGGAGCCCAGTCGTGTAGCCTGTAGCCACTGAAGCTGACGTCAGGTGTCCGACGCAGATACGACGTCGTGTTTTCGTCAGATACGACGCTAGACCGACACGTCCGGCGAACAAAGGCGAATCTGCGGAGCGCCCGGTAACAAAGGCGAATCTGC